CAATCCGCTTTTGACTTGTTTCTCCTAAACGGTTGCTACAGAATGGAAGGAGCAGTGTTGAATGTTATCGTTTAAAGAGTTTTAGCTTCTGGTACTGGTATTTCCTGGCATTTTAAACATCCAGGTCCCATCAGAAAGAGTGTCTTCGTCATCCCCAGAGTAAACGACTTATTTTCCTGTTTGTCTCCAGCACCTTCTCCCCATTCTTTTTCTCACTGTACAGTTCCTTGAGTTTTTCTCCCTGAGTCACTGGGGGGGTGGGGGGACAACACACACGACAACGTGGGACAGGATGTCTGCCCACCGAGGAAAGGCTGTTGGATCAGCAAGGCAAACAGGTGAAGGTAAGTACCCCCCTCAGGTAGGGAAAACTTGTGATGGCAGTTTGAAATGCCCGTGTGTTCACGGGTGTTTGCAGCTTAAACAGTACTCAATGGCCAAGCTACTTGTTGAGAACTCCCTTTAGGGAGAGAAACCATTCTGGTTCCTCGGATGCGTGAAATGCCACAGCCCCACTCTGCACAGCTGCCTAGGCAAACATTTCATCGTTACAGGCGCGTGGTGTTTACACTCCTCCACTGAGCAATCTTAAGACAGAACGGAAGGGCAAATTACAACAAACAGTTTAACCCAGGTCTTTCACCTGATGTAATGCTGAGGTGGTTTTGGGGCTCTGACTGCTGGCTGGCAGTGCTGGCACACCTTTAATCCCAGCACTCGGGAGGCAGAGGCAGGTGGATCTCTGTGAGTTGGAGGCCAGCCTGGTCTGCAGATTGAGTTCCAGAACAGTCAGGGATACAGAGAAACCCTGTCTCTAAAAACAAACCAAGGGGGTTGGGAGAGACCAGGAAGTGCCTTCTTCTAAAACAGCAGGTAACAGAGATAAAATTAAACTACTGTACTTGATAGTCACCAAGTACACTCATGAGGCAGGTACATTCCGTGTGCGTACGTGACTAAAGGGTGAGTAACTCTCAAAAAAATCTGAAAAAAATGACCTTTGGAAATGATGGGAATAAGCTACTCCAGTAACTTTCATATATATTTTTTTAAGTCATTCAAAACCACAAGCTATTTAATTTGCCTTTTTTCTATTTTTTTTTCTTTTTAAGCAGGGGTGATTTTTTGAGGCAGGGTCTCTCTGCAGCCTGGTTAGTCTGGAGCTTGTTATGTAGACCAGCGAGCCCCACCTGCTTCTGCTGGCATGAAAGGTATGCACTACCACAGCTGGCCGGCTCCTATCTTTCTTTCAAGTTCACCATTACTGTGTTCATGAGAGTTGTGAGAGGGAAAAGGAGGAAGATCTGAAGAGTAGACAGCTTTGCAACTCTGGGGAGATGGTTCTCTTCCCACCATCAGATGGAAATCAGGTCATTAGTTTGAGGAGCAGAGGTCTTATCCCACTGGCTCATCTGGGCCTACTACTGCATCCCGCCCTAAGTAGGCTAGAAAGTTAATACAGCAAACCCAGGGTGTTGTGCTTGCTGTAGCATAACTACATTTCCATCTCCTAAAATACTCTCTTAAATAAACCACAGCCCTAAGATCTTGAATCTCAAAGACTAAAAACACTAGAACTGGCTCTATCCAGAAAATGACAAATGAAAACACCCCCACAGAAAAATCTTTTTAAAACTGTCAGGACATTATTAAAACAATGTATACCTACAAATCTATTAAATTGGTACATAGAATTGTAACGCCCACATGGTACACAGTTTGCAGTAAGTTCTTTGTACTTGGCAAAGGCTGTAAGGTACCAGATTCAATAATAAACCTGAGAACTAGAAGCAGTCCTTGTAACCAAAGATATTACAGAATGCTAATTCAGGAAGTTATTCAGCAGCTTATAAAAGAAATAGGAAGTTGTTGGACAACTCCTTGAAGAACTATCTCCTGCAGGAAAACCTGCAGAAGTGCTGAGCTAGAAAGAGAATTGGTTCCTGTCAAAGAGAAACTCAAGGTACCGTGGTGAAACTGGTTTCAAAGGCTGATCTCCAACGACTGGGCCTTTCTTAGGGACAGCATACTCTGGGCCCATCATTTGCCAATATAAAGTCCCAGGCTCTAGATCTCACTGACCTAGGCTTTAACACCAGCATGGGGGATGGGCCAACTGACTCCAACACACTCACTCATTCCTCTACAGTCCCCAGGCAACAACCAGCTGTTCCCAAAGTCAACAGTTCTCCCAGATCTCTCAAGTTACAACACCTCACCCACTTGGACCACTCGGGGTCAGAATTCTTCCTGCCATGTATAAATCTCAAGAAATGACATACTTTGTACCAACAACTACCTAAAAAGATGGATGAAAGATTTAGTTTTTCACGGCTGGCATGAACTAAACTTCAGAAACTAGTTCAGATCTTCATTCCACAGCTGGCTGGTATCCTCTTGAAAAGTTTAATAATTTACTAGTTATTCACCTGTGTGTGCATATTCAAATGTGACTGTGGACACAGCACAGCTGAGTGTGTAATATCTGAGGACAATCTTCCCTAGTCAGCTTTTTCATCGTGAGGGTCCTGGGCTCACACTAAGACTATAAGCTATCTTCAGGACCTCACAGGAATCTTCAGACAAAAGGAAAAGTACTGACTGTGAAGAGAAATGGATTCTAAAAAACTAAGATAAAAATAAATTTTGACACAATAGCTACTTGGCAGCACGGCTTAGTTTACCATCATTTCTGACTCAATCGGGGCAGATATTAATTTCATTCATCTGTTTGGTGCACGACAGCTCCTTACAGCAACCACACAGTACATAACCTCAGGGGAAAGCCAACAATGGAGAAAGTTCTCTTTCAAATCGCTTCTCCAAACTGCACATTATTCATAAAGCATTTCCTCTTCAGAAAAGCAATTTTGTAGACTCCAGCACCCACTCCTAACATCCAGTTCTCAGCGGCCTCCACAGGCTCTTAACCAGACCAGTGATTCAGTCCACCTGCTGGGAGCGTTCAAGTCACCCTTGGGGGGTGACCTTCTACTTCTAAGAGCTCTGCAGAACCCAATGCTTCATTCTTCACAGAAGCAGCCCTGATTCCCACCTGCAACCTCAGAAACAATGCTGGTGTCTGCTCCCTAGGCAAAGCCCTCCGCAGTCCTCCTTCGGCCTGGTCTATCTGCTTTCTGGCCCCCACTTGAAAAGGGGTGAGGACGCTAAGTGGGGGTGGCGCTGGTGTGGAGCCCCTCCTCACATCCACACCCGGAAGTCACGTGTCAACAACAGTCACTGAGAAAAATCTAAAAAGTAAGACTCTATCATGAGGGTTATTTCAGCTCAGAGAATTCTCACTCACTCAAATAATGAAGATGCAGACAGATGTCAAACAAGCCATTTTCAGAAAACACATGAGTAAAAAACAGCATAAATGTTGCCCTTTAACCTGCTCACAACCACAACTGAAGGGCAGCAGGCTATTAAGTGTTTAAATCTCCCCAAGTCAGCATGGGACACAGCAGGGAGGCTTTGGGAGTCCAAGCCTTTCTCTTCCTCCCTAACAACCTGGTTTGTTTCCCCTCCCTTCCCCTTCAGGACACGTTGGCCACAGCCAGCCCCTCTTCCCAGTCATTTACTTTGGCTGCTGTCTGCTGAGAGAATAAATGATCTTGCTCATGAGGATGAGTTTGCCAGGCTTGTGTGTACTTTCCAGTCTCAGGCTCTTTATTGTTCTCTGTGAAACCTGACCCTCTGAAGTGCTTTGAAATGAGGACTGGGACACCAGAAAATGGTTTTGTAAAAAGAAAAAGTTACAGGGGAAAAATGGCAACAAAACAAAAAACAAGTTGGGGGGAGGGTGGCCAGAGGCAGCTTCCCAAGATCAAGATCAAAGCTCTTCCCTGGTGTCCTTACTACAGTAACATGCCAGCACTTGGGAGGCAGAGGCAGGCAGGTCTGAGCTGGAGGCCAGCCTGGTCTACAAAGCAAGTCTCCAACTCAGAGTTCCAGGATAGCCAGGGATACAAAGAGAAACCCTGTCTTGAAAAACAAACCCATACAAAGTAGCAACCCACACAAAGCAGCAACCCACCCAAGACAATCAACTGAAAATGGGGGGGGGGACTCACAATCAAAACAAGGTTGTTACTAGTGTCCTCTGAACCAACAAATAAGGCTGCATTTACTTGGGATTGTCAAAACAAATTTAAATCAAAATGAGCATTGTTATTCATCTCATTATCTCAACCCAATTAACCACTTCAAAGAATACTAGAACAATCTGCAGTCTTTAACTGCCAGTCTGAGACATTTTGCTCACTCTAAATTCAAACAAGTCCTTGAAAATTAATTTTACTTCCAATCTCAGAATTAGGAGATAAATTCTATTTTGTCCTTTTCAGGTGAATGTAATTTTGCCATTTGGTAAAAGCAAGAAGACAGGGGTGGGGGCTGCCAGCCTGACAATGTGGAGACTAGAGGGCACACCTTACTAAGTACCTGATGGTTTCTCCACACTTTAAGGGAAGGGGGTATCAAATGACATCAAAACACAGCTTACTTAAGTGTTTGCTGACTCACAATTTGAGTATTATAAAGTCACAGCTTTCCCAAGTCCTACTTCCTTTTTTTGGAAAGAATACACAAGGTCCTGGGTTCAGTACCCAAGACAGAGACTTACAGACACAGACACACACACCCATATGTGGGGAGGGGGCAGAAAATATAACACATGCCAATCTCGTTATTTAAAGTTTAAATTTTTCATCGTATTCCATTTTGTGCCAGGCTAATTAACAAATCTGGCACAAACTCAAAAGGAGATGATCCCATATTGCCACAAAGCACAAGTTTGCAAAAAGGCTCTGAACCAAGAATAAATACTGAAGAGGGTACTTACATACATAAAATAGAATGTTTGGGGGCTGGGGTGCAGCTCAATGGTAAAGTATGCTTGTTTACCATTCATAAGGCTGAGTTCCATCTTCAGCACCAGCAAAACAAATAGATAATGTCACCCCTACATTGCCACCTCCCACATTGTCTTCACTTACTTTAGGAAGTATCTCTGTCCGGAAGACGTCTTGGCCATCTCCCAGCCTGCCGGCAGCGGCACGTCGTCAGGGATCTCGAAGGAAGACTGTCGGAGGTGCTGCGCTGCCGGAGTGGCGGCGCCAGAGACCACGGTGGGGGTGAGCGTCCCTGGAGAGACGGCCCCCAGCTGCAGGGATGCCGGCGAGGAGTGAGCCCGGACGTGCTGGGGAGTCAGAGCCCCTGCAGTGCCGGCATCAGTACTGGCCTGTCAGAACAGCAAGATGAACATGTACACAACTGAGACAACAGCCCTACCCCGATTTCTTAGAATTTCATGGCAGCCAACTATCGAAAGATCAAAAGCAAACTTTAATGGTCATTTTTGACACCAAGGTACACAAGTGTCCAAATGGACTCACTTTTAAATTATGTAAATTTAGTATGTACTATAAATGTTATTTTACTGAAGAGCAGTTCACCTGAATATCTACCTCCTAGACACTGTGAAGACAGCAAATAGTGGACATTAAAACCTATTTTCAAAAAAAAAAAAATGAGCAAGAGCTGTTATTTGGTGGTGGAGAACATGTTTATCCCACACACTCTAAGCATTCTGGTTGCTTTTCAGAGTCCTGTGTGCTTTCCATGTGCTTCTCCCTTACTTCACTTTAAATAATACCCCATCTGTCACTTTTTTTTACTGTGAACAAGTGCGATCAATAAATAAATTTAATGAATTCAAAGGCTCAGAACTGCACCAATGCTAGAAGCTACCCACGAAGAGAAGAAGCTAACCAACCCTCTTTGTGCCTTAAGGATAAAGATGTAATCAATTCAATTACAACCTAAGCATTCACACACAAGGAACAGGAAGGAAAAAGAAAAGCCTGCAGAGACCCCAAGGGTTCAAATCTGGGTTCATCCAGACTAGTGTTAAACGAAGTATCAGAAATTAACTTCTTCATTTCTATAAATTAGTTTTTCTATGCCAGAAGCACACAGGGATATAAGAATTCCCGGGCAGGAACCTGTAGACAATTATTTACAACTTAGATAAATACTTATTCATAGTCTAATGCTTTTTATTAGAATTAGGGTTGATCAAAAACGTTTGATTTCCTAGATTCATGCGGGTAAGGAAACTGAAAGGACCTAACAGTAACTTAAAGCACAGAGCAAAGCCAGGGGCATTTCTGAGTTTCAGATCAGATTAAATTTAGGACTAGGAAATCATTAGCACACTGAAAAGGTAAATTTCTTGATGCACAGCTCTCTTAAAACGCTAGTGAGAAGGCAAATGTACCCCACAAACGGCGGGGTGGAAGTCGGGTATTCCCCGTGCTCGTTCCTTCTGGCTTCTAAGTATTACAAAATGGAGCATTCAATCTGCGTGTTCCTTCAAAGTTTCCGCGGCCGTTTGTGATTGCATGCCAACATAGATTTAGCTCAGGGAGCCCAGAAACCCACTTGTGGGGGAGGGAGTAATGAACAGTATCGAAGTCTACGACTGTTGTTACAAATTAAGTGTTTAGGCTAGCGGCTAAACAACCTTTCCTTCCTCCTTAACTCGGCTTTTTGTAGCGAGGTTAATGGAGCTTTTCCGAGCTCCAAAACCCCTGCTCTGCAGCAGGCCTGCCTGGGAGGGGGCTGGAGTGGGAGTGGCGACTCTTCTTTCCACTCAAGTTACAGCCCGAGTGGGCTAACGATGGCAGCGTTTGGAAAACCAATTAAGTTTTGGGCAAAGTTCCTATGCTGGTTTAGCCTAAAGCAAGGTCTCTAAAAATTAAGTAATTAAACGGGGGGGGGGGGGTAGCGCCACTAAAGAAATCTACCAGGACCTATCGGAATGTTAATACTTTGAAACCGTTTCACTTCTGTGTGGGATCCAGTTGGGAAAATAACCAGGCGTCGTAGATGTGGCTAAGCAGCCATGTTCACATCCGCAGTTAGTTAAAAAGCAATGGCGAGGCTGGAATTAGTCATTGCTTCCCAAACATTACCTTTAATCACAGTTGAGCCAGGCAGGACTCGGCCTATGAGTCAACCTGCAACGCGCTATCAAAGGCCGGCGCTGAGCCTGTGCGCCGTGAGCGCAGCCGAGGTCCTGCGCAATGCCCAGATGTGGCCCATTTAAAAGCTTTCGGGCCGAACAGTAAATAATAGGCTACGATTGGGCAAGCAACACGTGAGCCCACCAAGTGTGAAAACATCCCGCCCGCGCGAGTTCCAGGGCACGGCGGGGGCGAGCCGGGCCCGAACCCTGCACTGGACCGCGCCTGGGCCGCCAGAGCAGAAAGCTTCGGCGAGCGGGAGGGGGAGGGGAGGAGAGAAGGAACCAGAAACTCAATGGACCGGTTCAACCCCCACCCCTCACCAACTCGGGCAAACAAGGGGACAGCAGACGCGGCTTCACGGAGACTGAAGAGGCGCGGGCAGGGGAGGCGGGCTGTCCCCCGGCTGAGGTCCCGCACGAGACGCCGGACCCCTTCCTTCTCCCCTCCCCCCTCCCCTCCCCCTCCCTGCCGGAGCCAAGGTGCGGAGCGGAGGCGCGCGCATTGTGCAGCCCCCCGCGGCCGCCAACTCCGGGAAAACAAACCCCAGCCCCGCACCCCACGCGCCCCCGGGGCGCCGCTACCTGTCGCGAGTGGGACTTGGGCTCGGGCGGCTTGAAGAAGGAGTCGGGCAGCTTGCGCAGCCGCATGGGCACGGTCTGCGGCACATTGGCCGTCTTGGGGTTCATGACGGCGTTGAAGAGCGCCTCTAGGTCGGTCTCCGAGTCTCCGCGGACGTGCACGACCTGGTGGCCGGCCGGGGGTGCGGGTGGGGCCGCGGGGGTCCCCGGTGGGGCCGCGGGCGCGGACGGCGGCGCGGGGCCCTGCGGGGCCGGCTGGGGCGGCGGCTGCTGCGCGGGCTCCATGGCTGCGGCCTCGCTCGACGCTCGAGGCGGTGCGCTCAGGCTCGGGGGGCAGCGTCGCGCGCCCGCATCGCCCGGCACTCCGTGCCCGAGGCCGCCGAGCCTTCCCTGCCCTCCTCGAGCTCCTTCCTTCCTCCCTTTCTTCGCCCCGGCCGCGGCGGCGTCCCGACTGAGACAGAAACTTCGGCTCCAGACGCCCAAACTAAAAAGTTGCGCGGAGCGCCCGCCCGCGCGCCTCACGGGCTCCGCCTCCTCGTCGCTCTTCCTTCCTCTGCGCGCCCGCCCGCACCGAATCCGCGGCTCGCGGCCCCCGGGGAAACTTTCCCTGCACGGCGCTGCATTCCTGCAGACTCCCGGGCGCACGTGACCCGGAGGCTGCTGCGCTGCGTGCGCACCGGACGGCCTGGAGCTGCGCGTCCGCGGGCCGACCTCCCCGGGCCGCCAAGGCCGCCCGGAGGCGAGGCTGGACGGAAGGCCGTCTACTCACCCGCACTGATTTTAGTCGGCTCCGCGTTTTAACGTAGATTGCAGTTTTGCCGTTTACCGGCGAGTGTGCAGAAAAACAAAATGCTTGAGGGGAGGCAAATGATTACAGATTGAAGCTTGGAGAGCAGGTCTTACACTCAGTGTATCTTACAAAAGAAAACGTATCACTTTAAGTTTTGTTTAAACTGACTGTAGCCAAGGATACCCTCCAACTGCTTACTGTCTTGTGCCACAGCTTCCTGACTGCTAGGATTCCAAGCAAGGGCATCTACATCCCCGACTTTGGGAACTGATTTAGCTTTGTTGTCGTTCGTTCTATTTTCTTTCCTTTTTTATTTTTAAATTACACTCACTACGTAGGAGTGAGCTCCACATTCCGTGGAGCACAAGTGGAGGTCAGAGGGCAATTTGTGGGGTCCTCGTTGTAGGTCTCAGAAATCGAACTGGTAGACCAGCCTTTCTCGTTTTTGTTCTCATGTAGGGCAGGCTAGTCTCCTACTCATGTAGCTGAGGTTGGCTTTACATTCTTGTTTCTTCCGCCTCGTCCTCTAAAGGGCTGGGATTACGAATGTGGGCCACCTTGCCCAACAACCATTGATTGATTTTTTTTTTTTAATGAAAACCAAATTTTTTGTTTGGTTTGGTTTTTGAGACACAATTTCTCTGTGTAGCCCTGGCTGCCCTGAAACTTGCTATGTATACCAGGCTGGCCTCTACCTCTCGAGTGTTGGGATTAAAGACATTTTCCACCGTGCCCAGAGTCAAATCAATTTTTTTAAGTACCACAACTTGCCATTTGGTCTCTGAGAACGTCAACTCAAATCATAATGAGGGAGCATATTACTTTTACCTCCTGTGCCTGGTACAAGGGTAGACAGAGAGAGAGAGAGAGAGAGAGAGAGAGAGAGAGAGATCGATCTTGTGTGGTCTTACTATCTGTAATCACTTAAAAATGATGAAAACTTGTTGTCGTTTTTACATAATTGTTTTGTATTGGGTGTTTCCTGCGTATGTGTCTTTGCATCATATGATTGCCTGGGTCCCACAGAGGCCAGAAAAAGGTATTGATTCCACCGGTTGTGAGCATGCGAGTGCTGGGGTTTGAACCTGGATCCTTGGGAAGAGCAAGCAGCCCCTTGCTGATGTCATGAACTGTTGAGCTCTACATCACACATTACAGTTTCCACTGGAGCAGTCGGTGCTTTTTGAGTGTATTCCCAGGGTTGTGCAACACTGATTTTTAGACACACAAATTTCTTCTGCAGAAATTGGTGTTCTTGTTGCAGTGATTTTGTCTGAGGGCAAGTGAAACGGTATAAATAGGATTAAGCAAAGAAAGGACCCTTGAGCAAAAAAGATAATCTCTTCCTCCAGCCAGGACATGCCCAGAAGAATTCTGAGCAGCTATCTCTAGTGCTTGCTGCTGTCGAGTGGGGTGAGCCAGCTTCAGACAGGCAAGATTTTAATCAACCCAGGAGCCTCAGGTTCCTGTCCAAGAGAGGAAGTAGGGTAAATACCCTCCTAGAACTAATTCCAGAATTGCTCTCCACCCCACCAAGTGCAAAGAGCATTTAACCAGTCTTGTGGGTTCCTAAACTTCAGGGTTTGGAGTTCAGGTCCTGGTTCCTCTTGCGGCAGCTGTAAGATAGGGAGCAGACTACTTCCTGCTCTTTAATTTTGGCGTCAAGGTAATGACATCACCTCACATTGTTGAGACATTGAATGACTCAATGGACATAAAGCACTGACCCGGTCTGTGGCACAAGGCGAGTTCTTGGTCGTCGTCAGCTCTATCATTGCCCTGTTTACAGGGGACTTCGCTGGTAGTAACCCAGCCTATTATGCCAGAGCCCTTTTAGAACCCCGATCGCTCTCCCTCTTTCTCATATCCAACAGTTAAATCCACAAACAAAACCTTTGGGCAAAACAATCCTCAGTGAAAAGTTGGCGGGGCACAGCTGTTGTGCATCCAGCACAATAGAGACCGACGCAGGTGGGTCTCTGAGTTCCTGGTCAGCTTCATCTACACAGTGAATTTCAGGCCAGCCTGGGTTATATGAGAGACTATCTCAGAAAGGAAATGAAAAAGAAAGGAAGGAAGGACTGGGTGGTGGTGGCACACACCTTTAAATCCCAGCACTCAGGAGGCAGAGACAGGCAGATCTCTGTGAGTTCGAGGCCAGCCTGGTTTACAAGAGCTAATTCCAGGACAGGCTCCAGAAGCTACAAAGAAATCCTGTCTCGAAAAACCAAAAAAGAAAGAAAGAAAGGAAGGAAGAGAACTGAAATTATCTGGAAATTTGGAGGGCTGAGGCAGGAGGAATGCCATGACTTCTAGGCCTGATTGAACTGTATAGAACTGTCTCTAGTGGGCACGGTGGCGTGGTGGGAAGCAGAGGGTCAAAAGTTTAAAGCCAATCTCATTGGACAGTTAAGTGTAAAAGCAGCAGGGGCTGCCTGAGACCCCATCTGAGAACAGCAAACCTTTCAGCTGAAGGGAGATGTGTAGAACAAAGGCGGCTGTGGCCACAGGTTGCAATGGAAGCTGTCCCTAACTACAGCCTTACTGCTATGGACACTGTAATTACAGGGTGTGCTCAATAGTTTGCCGGCCTTTAAATTGAGAACAAAGTTACTGTGGATCACAAGGCTTTCTGGAGTAATCTTACGTTCAGTTAGAACCTCTGTCTCTTCATCAAGACTGTGCCCCTTACCATTCTCTCCAGCATTTCAGTCACCAGTTAGGAAGAGATGGTGACAGTGGTAATACATTCTTTCGTCTTCATGCCTGACCTACCCACCTCCAGGAGTTATTATTTTAAACCCCCTTGAAACAGAAAGATAGCTTTTCTTTGTGTATGGTTTCCTGAAACAAGATTGCAGGCTATGGTCCAGAATCATCTTGAACTAAGATTGCAGGCTATGGTCCAGAATCATCTTGAACTCACAGCCTTCCTGCCTCAGCCTCCTGATTGCTGAGTTTTCAGGCATATACCAACAAGCCCCACTTGGGAGGCATCTTTATATATAGACCTATCTTTGGGTTTTGGGTAAGGCTGCTCACTTTTCCTGGCTGCCCAGACTCCCAAAATAATCACATAGAAACAATATTATTTAAATCACTGCTTGGTCAATCACTTAAGTGTATTGCTAGCTAGCTCTTATATCTTTGGTTAACCCATTTCTATTCATCTGTGTAGCGCCACATGGCTGTGGCTTACTGGCAAGGTTCCAGCACATCTGGCAGCTACATGGCTTACTTAGCCTTCTTTTTCCCAGCATTCAGTTTAGCCCCGAACCCCCTTCCTCCCCCCCCCCCGCCCCAGCCCCGTCTAGCTCTACTGTGTCCTATCACAGACCAAGGCAGCTTCTTTATTCATTAATCAATAAAAGCAACACATATACAGAAGAATGTCCCACACCATTTGGGGACTGGAGGGGCAGCACAGGGCTTAAGAGCACTGGCTGCTCTTCCAGTGACCCCTGATTTGATTCCCTGCACCCACATGGCAGCTCACAACTCCTGTAACTCCACTTCCAAAAGAACTGGCACTGCATTTGGCCCCTGCAGTCACCAGGAAGTACCCGGAAATACACTCAGGCAACCCAGCCATACAAATAAAAACATCCTTTTAAAAAAAATCTACCATTGTTCTGGGCCATTATCAATGTTTGTGTAGATCACTAACTTTACAGTTAGTTGACTCACTGGGCAGGGGTGGCACACACCTTAAATCCCAGCACTTGGGAGGCAGAGGCAGGCGGATCTCTGAGCTCGAGGCCAGCCTGGTCTACAAAGTGAGCTCCAGGACAGCCAGGCTACACAGAGAAACCCTGTATTGCAAAAGCAAACAAACATGAACCAAAGGATACATTTGGACTGTGCAACACTAGACATTCACCTTTGCTTCTCTTTAGCCGCAGACCCATGTTGTTCAGAGCACAGCAGCTGGGACGGGAGGCTTGTGGTCCTCTCCTCTTGACAGGCAGTTGGCAGTGTGGTTTCCAGCCACATATCTCATTTGTCATGATCCTCTCTCCTGAGCCACCCATCTCCCTCTTCCTTCTGCTCTCACTGGAATGTTTGTGACCTCCCAGAATTAATTCAGGCTGCACTCCATGTCTAGTGCATCCGAGCTTGCTCCCACTTGGAAGTTGTGATAATCCTTCTGCCTCAGCCTCCCAAGTGTTAGGATGATTTCATTTCAACTTTTTTTTCTTTCATGCAGCACCTTGCCTCGCATATGCACTGGACTCTCATCAATTAAAAGCTTCAAGCATTTAGCTTTGTTCCTGAAGCTCGATACTACCATTCCGTTGACAGACTGTGGTATGCAACTGCATGAGAACTCCACCTGCTCATCAGATGACGCTGTCTGTGCTACATTATGAATTGGTCCTGTAAGAACATTCTGTAACTGCCTTGGTGTAATGGTCTGTCCTGTCTCTTTAAGAGACAAGCCACAAGCCGGGCTGTGGTGGCGCATGCCTTTAATCCCAGCACTTGGGAGGCAGAGACAGGCGGCTCTCTGTGAGTTGGAGACCAGTCTGGTCTACAAGAGCTAGTTCCAAGCCGGGCGGTGGTGGCGCATGCCTTTAATCCCAGCACTCGGGAGGCAGAGGCAGGCGGATCTCAGTGAGTTCGAGACCAACCTGGTCTACAGAGCTAGTTCCAGGACAGGCTCCAAAGCCACAGAGAAACCCTG